ATGAAACAAGATGAAGCCTGAAAACATGCTAAGTGAAAGAAGCCAGTCCCGAAGGACCACGTATTGTATGTTTCCATTTATACGAAATATCCATATTGGTACACCAATAGAGACAGAAAGTAGATAAGTAATGACTGCTTAGGGTTGAGGGGGATTGGGGAATTGGGTAGTGATGGCTAAGGGATGTGTGAGTTTCTCTTTGGGGTGATGAAAATGTTCTAAAAGTGATTGTGGTGTGTTGCTTTGCGTTGCTTCGCTCCCCACGGATTTGTCACCCCACTTCCCCTGGGTGACAGAGATGCAAAGGATTACTCAAAGCCCATCTCTACTGAGCAGTGAGAGGCCCTGAAGTGGTTAATTTCCCAAGGAAGGGATCCCTCTCTCCCTTGAGAGTTCCTGCAGGAGATTAACCACTTCAGGGCCTCTCACCGCTCCATAGAGATGGGCTTTCAGTAATCCTTTGCGTCTCCATCACCCAGGGGAAGTGGGGTGACAAATCCGTGGGGAGCGAAGCAATGCAAAGCAACAGCAGTGATGCTACATAACTCTGAATACACTAAAAGCCATCAAATTGTACACTATAAGTGGGTGAATTATATGATATGTGAATTATATCTCAATAAAGCTGTTAAAAAAAATTAACCTCTGGTGATTCAACTCTGTATACAGGTTACCTTGGAGGGTACAGACTGGGAAAGGCACATGGGAGCCTTCTGGAGTGCTAGAAATATTCCCTACCTTGATTGGGGTGGTAGTTATATGGGTGTACACACTGAGCAATACAATTAAGATTGGTTAACTTCCACTGTACGTAAATGATACCTTAATAAAAAGTTTTTTCAAATAATATTTGATGAGTGAATATTTCAATTACTCCTAAGAAACCTGGAAAGTATACATACTATTGTGAGAAATACAGGTTCAGAAAAGTTAAGTAACTTGCCCAAACAAAGCAAGCACTTACACTTTTGTCTCCTGACTTCAAAAGCTGACTCCACTATTCCATAACTTACCTTTATATCTCCTCTAACTAGAACTGCTGCTTGATGCATGGTATGCACACGTAAATATGTGAATGAATGAGCAGCATAAAGTATATATTTAAATTACTAAATGTGGGGCCGGCCCGTGGCTCACTCGGGAGAGTGCGGTGCTGATAACACCAAGGCCACAGGTTCGGATCCCATATAGGGATGGCCGGTTGCTCACTGGGTGAACGTAGTGCTGACAACACCAAGTCAAGGGTTAAGATCCCCTGACCAGTCATCTTTAAAAAATAAATAAATAAAATAAATAAACAAATAAATTACTAAATGTGGCTCGCTGGATAGCTCAGTTGACTAGAGTGCAGCCTTATAACAGCAAGGTCACAGGTTCAGACCCCCATAACAGCCAGTCATCAATCAATCAATCAATAAATAAGTGCTATCTAAAAACACAGAAGAATATACCTGAAGAAAGTTATAAAGAGGATATAAAACCTAAGGTGACTCTTAAAACTAAAAGAATAGTATTAGCAGGACTTGGCAGTAGGGATTAGTACAGGGGAAGACTGGAGGAATCATAATGCCCTAGGAAAACATCTTGTATGAAGTGGTTTCCATCTTATTAAATGTTTCCTGTACTGTAGTTATTTAAATCAATATGTCCAAATTTGATAGCAAAGGTAGCTATACCACCAAATAAATACATGTAATTTCTTAAAGGCATTTAAATCAATTCACACACATACATATACACACACACACACACATACACACACACACTCTCACACACACACAAAAAAACAAACAAACAACAACAACAACATCAACAACAAAAAAAAAAAAACGGGGGGGGGGGGGAGGGAGGGGTAGGAACATATAAAAACCCCAGCTTTTTTTTTTGAAGTTCTTACAACAAGAAAATGGAGG